AGAGCTGTCAAGGTCAGCGTCGGTGCGGCAATTTTGACTTTGACAAGCAAGGTAGGGTTCCCAGGGTACGTCACAGCTAATTTCTCATTTTCACATTATAAGACATTTTTATTGTATAACTTTTAATTAACAAGGCTATTATTTAACACTTGGTCCGCTCTCTAAGTATCTAGTTGTGGATAAGTGAATTTTAGGGGATTATTTTCAACTTTTTTGACATCCGGATTTCGTCTGATAGCTCCGAGAATCCGACTGTCGATACGGATTCATTCCGACGGAATATCCCAGGATCGTATGATTCAAATGTACAGGTTACAGTCACAGTCATCAATCACAAGTCGCGAGTGATTTATCGTCAGTATGAAATATTACAGTTCACAGTGTATGTACGATCCAGTTATTCCGACCTGCTGTGTTTACACATTACCAAGTTACAGTCTCTGCTAAGGGTTTCTTCCACAGGGGATTATTGGAATCGTCTAAAGCCGAGACATACGTACTTCACTGTAAGTTATAATTAGGATTTGGCTTCATTCTTATCACGACGTTTTGTAGGAGGTGTGGCCTCCTTGGTATTCATTCCCAGTCACGTGACTTCCGGAATGTATTATTATCTGGATCCAGTTCCGGTTGCTGCACGTTCGTACACTTTAAAGTTTTGAAGTTTATTGTACAGTTAATTCGTTTAAACAGCCCAGGGTTCTCAATCGCGAATGGGATACAGTATTGCAAGACTACGACACACATGCTCCAGAGGGTTCAGATCTGGGCTTAACGCTGGCCAGGATAGAGTTGTCACTGCATTGGTCCTCATGTAATCCACTACGGCACGTGATCGATGAGGCTTGGCGTTGTCATCCATGTACTGAGGTCGTGTAGCAAGTGGATCGTTATCGAAATGAGGGACAACGACTGGCTGGAGGACGTTCCGGATGTATTGAGCTCCCGTTAAGTTGCCCCTGATGGTGACCAAATCCAGCTTGCAATCGTGAGAGAGGCATCCCCACACCATGACAGATCCTCCTCCATAGGCAACAGTTGGCAGAATGTTCCTGGGGGTATAAGCTGTGTTCTTATGCCTCCAAACATGTGTACGTCTATCAGTAACATGAATTTTTGTAAGAAGCGGATTTCGTCTTACCAATGGATTTTCCTCCAGGTCCTCAGATTCCAGTGTCGTCTGGCCAGGCACCATGCCAAAGGTGCACGGTTATGGTGGTCTCTTAACAAGGGACGTTCAATGACTCTTCTGGCCTTCAATCCTGCCGCTTAGAGACGATTTCTGACTGGCGTGCATGTCGTAGCAGTTGTCTGTGTTCACGCGGTGTAGTGACAGGAGATCTTCCAGACATTGGACGGCCCATTGCACTGCGCATGTTTCTGGACTAAACGGCTAACAACGGTGTAATGGTAACCCAGATTTCGTCCAATCGCCATAAAGGACATCCCCCGCGGTATGCATACCAATAACCCGATTCCTAGTGTCGATTGACAATCGTCTCCGTGCCATGTTCAATGAATATGCTTGAATGGCCGTTTCAGCCAACGTTTAATACCCACAAATACAGTTGGGCCATACTGCTTTGTGTGATCCTCGAGGGTAGCATGTTGCACGTGCATGCCATAAGCGACACGAGCGCGATTGTCACGCATCACTGGTTATATCGTCTCGCGCAAACTCTACTCTTCCCATAATTATACCTTGTATCACTATTTCAAATAAGGGGGGGGGGAGGGAAACAGTCATAAAAAATATCAGGGGGTGCTTAACATTTTTCTTTGCGTATAGATAAAAAAGGAAGCACTGAAGAAAATAACATCAATGCACGAACAAATCAGCATGTATCCATACTTATACCCACTCATATACACGTACACACACATCCATTTCACTATATCTACTCCAACTATTGTACCCACACTCACATAGACAGCTCGCATCTTTCCCCACCTTATCCCTCCATCCATCGTTCTCCATTTTCTCCCCAAATCCATCGTTCCCCTCTTTATTCATACATCCATCGCCGCCACCCTTACATCCATCGCCCGCCACCCTATCCTTACATCCATCGTCCCAACCTTATTCCTACATCCATAGTTACACATTTGCTCCCTGCACCCGTCGTTACCCTCCTTAACCTCACATCGTTCCCAACCATTTCCATACATCCATCGTTCCCCACCCTATCCCTAGATTCCTACACATTTAATGCCATCAATATCGTTCAATTGATAATAGAATCTGAAGACATGTCCATTTTTCTTTGTACTGGATTCCATGGCTCCATACGAATCCTTACGAAGATCGGCATTGCTTGGTCACTGTCTCAAAGATTAAGCATAATCCTTAACACTATCCCGGAAGAACATTTAAGACAAGTGGAATAAATACCATGTGGGTTCTCAAAACTTCAAATCATTTGCTTGAATGTTTATTATTTCACAAACATTCAGTTTTGTCAAAACTTGTCATTTTTCAACTTCCCAGACCACGATACAGTATGGCATAGTTAACATCATTTACCCATAGGACACTTGTTAATAACGTGGTGAAAAAAGATATACTAACATCTTCAGAGGTTCAGGACAATTTGTCAAAATGAAAGCAAATGTCATTTGTACTGAAAAAAAAAACTGCTGGACTTCCGCATTGACAGCATCTACGTGAGGTTTGTGGGAAAAACATTTAGGCAAACAATAGGCATCCCATGGACACCAAGTATGCTACCCTCCGTTCGGATCTGTTTCTCTGTGCAGACGATTCAGAATTTCTGCTCAGGTTGCCAATATAAAAACAAGAAAATTTGGCCAGGAGGTTTAACTCGACAAGTTATCGTTCAATGACCATCAAATAGCAAATTCACTACCACTGACTTACCCACCCAAACGTAATATTAAGGAGAACAGCTAGGTCTCTTCATGTATTTCATATGTAGATCTGTGCATAAGGATTCGGAGCCACAATAAAGCGCTCCACAAGGCTGTGCGAGGAGAATGGCTTCAACTTTCCGAAAGTCAACTTCCCGTTTGTTCCAATATTTTCCGCAAAACTGCAACAGTTCTAGGCTTTGGTATTTACATTTAACAACTTATGAGGTACGACCGAGCTTGTTCTTTCCAGCAAGATTTCTAAGAATGTCATACGACTTTCGCTTACCAGTTGTTGGTTTAAGGTGACTGTATTAAGGACCTTAGTAACGGTTTCAAAAGGTTCTATGGAAGACACATGGGGTTCTTTCCAAATTGGAAACGTTAGTGACAGAACGGATTTCCGATGCAAGTCAATATTTTGAACTGGGTCAGGGTACAATCACATTTTCGCGAACATCTGGTACTATTAATACTGTTGGATATTCATTCAAAGTCAAATATTAATGACTGTCGGAATCGGACAATCGACTCAACCTTGGTCTTTCTTTCAGTGATAAAACACTCTAAGGTTGATCGATAAGGGGAGGGAAGGGATGGTGTTACTGTTGCTTGCTATTCCGATAAACACACAAAGTAGATTGTGTATTGTATTTATTTAAATGTAATTATCAAAATTTCATCATCCAATAATATTCCAATATGATAATTCATAAGAGCTTAATTCAACCAGAACTTTATCTGTCTGTATTGACATCTAGAAATATCAGACGCACACTTGTCAATTTTCGATTGGGCTTGTTAGACTTATCAGTAAATAAGAGAAGATGATTTTCAATAGAGAGACGTTTAAGGATATGTCCATTATGTAACTCGGCTATAGAAGATGAAATTCACTTCGCTTTTCTATACCCACATTATGCTGATTTAATAAAAAAATATATCCCAAATAATTACCTGTTAAAATATCCTTCATCTGCCTTTGCTTCCCTCTGTCCTCCAAAAATGAAAATGTAATACGTAATCTTTCGCTTTATGTAAAACATGCTGTTTTCCTTAGAAGCAATATCTTATCTGAACTGTAATTTCTTTGTGAAATGTCTGTAACATGTGCTGTATATATACTTGAATTCCTTGTATATGGGCCGGAGGCCTTAAGTACAATAAATATCTTTGACTTTGACTTGGCTGTCTCCCACTAAAAAACTTCGTTTCACCATGTCATGTTCTTAACTTCTCACTTTCATGTTTGTAATTTCACCCATTGTACCCATGTGGAGTATCGAACCCTGGTCATCTGTGTGACAAATGAATCGAACGCCTTTACCACAGGGCTACCCATCGCCCAATCGCAGTGTATACAGTATATTCGAATACAAAGGGCAGCAGGGTAATGTTGTGTGTTACAGAAAGAAAAGAGACATGCTGTCTGAAATGACATATAACAAGACAGCAAGGAGTTAGTTTAGTTTTACGCCACACTCAGCAACATTCCAGCTATATGGCGGCGGTCTATAAATAAGTGAGTCTGGACCAGACACAATTGGGTTACTTTGACATGTGTCAACCCAGTGAGCGAGCCTGACCACCCGATCCCGTTTGTCGCCTCTCACGACTGACTGACTATGGTTTTACGCCGCTTTTAGCAATATTCCAGCAACATCACGGCGGGGGACACCAGAAATGGGCTTCACACATATTGTACCCATGTGGGGATTCGAACCCGGGTCTTCGGCGTGACGAGCCAACGCTTAAACCACTAGGCAACCCCACCGCCCCTGTCGCCTCTTAGGACAAGCATGGGTTACTGAAGAACAATTCTAAACCGGATCTTCACGGGTGAGACAGCAAAGGACATACATACCGTTCGACCAGGTGAGATAAATAGACGCCTCACCGTCATTACCTGTCTATGCTGCCACACGAAATGTCGTTTTCTCATATATTACTTTGATGACTAATATTTAATACATTTCATGATATCGGTATTCATTTAATGATGTTGAAGTGCAAAGTATATCATTACTTTTTTCAAGATATTATTTAAATATTAGTTATCAGCAACATTTGGGATATAATTAAAAGAATTGATGATCTGAGGAAAATAGTTTAATATTAGCACACTTCTGACCAATAATCATATCTTTATTTCAGTTGCAACATTAAATAAGTTGATGACACTGATACTATCACTGTTTAGAATGGGACTCCAAGATGTGGCCCATCCAGGATAAAATAGGTCAGGCCATAATGTGTACACACAGCCCAGCCGTCGACATCCGTTGTGTACAACCCTGAACATGGCCGGTGTCACCCTCGACCTCTACACAGTCGATGCCTTCACTGACGTCCCCTTCAAAGGCAACCCGGCTGCCGTCTGTCCCTTGCCGTCCCAAGTTGTAAGTTTCTCCTCATTATTGCGATACAAATAGCAGCATAATTTCAACGAGAACACACCCGCCAACCTTTTCATGTTATAAAAGTGATGTTGTACAGGTATTATATTGGTCACGTGCAGACAGAAGGATATGTACATTTGTTTGTAAAGAGTCTGTTCATTATTGCTAAAACAATTCTAGTCCCCGATTCTGGGGTTAATCTCAATCACTTGCGGAAACCAGAGAGTAACAGAGCGGATGAGTATTAAAGGGAAGTAAATCTAATAACTTTGTCACACAACCCTAACCGTGTGCCTTAAGCACGACCTCAATTCTGCTTTTCAAACATTGTACACCTGTTGCTTCATGGTCCAAGCCCTCCCTTAAAGTTCAAAATCAACCAATAACACATTGCTTATATTTTCCTCCACTGTAATATTGCTATTTTGTGCAAATGCCACAGTATATTAAATAACTCAACACTGCAATAATACACTCATCAACACGGTGCAAGTAACAATACATTAAGTAACTATCACAGCAACACTGAAAGTAACTGTCACAACAACACTGAAGGTAACTGTCACAACAATGAAAGTAGCTGTCATAACAACAATGCATTAAGTAACTATCACTAAGATACATTAAGTAACTATCACAGCAACACTGAAAGTAACTGTCACAACACTGAAAGTAGCTGTCATAACAACAATGCATTAAGTAACTATCACTAAGATATATTAAGTAACTATCACTAAGATATATTACTGACTGACTGACTGAGTTTAGTTTTACGCCGCTTTTAGCAATATTCCAGCAATATCACGGCGGGGGACACCAGAAATTGGCTTAACATATTGTGCCAATGTGGGGAATCGAACCCGGGTCTTCGGCGTGACGAGCCAACGCTTTAACCACGAGGCTACCCCACCGCCCCTAAGATATATTAAGTAACTATCACAGCAACACTTAAAGTAACTGTCATAACACTGAAAGTAGCTGTCATAACAACAATGCATTAAGTAACTATCACTAAGATACATTAAGTAACTATCACAGCAACACTGAAAGTAACTGTCACAACACTGAAAGTAGCTGTCATAACAACAATGCATTAAGTAACTATCACTAAGATACATTAAGTAACTATCACAGCAACACTGAAAGTAACTGTCACAACACTGAAAGTAGCTGTCATAACAACAATGCATTAAGTAACTATCACTAAGATACTTTAAGTAACTATCACAGCAACACTGAAAGTAGCTGTGACAACAATGAAAGTAGCTGCCATAACAACAATGCATTAAGTTACTATCACTAAGATATAGTAAGTAACTATCACTAAGATACATTAAGTAACTATCACAGCAACACTGAAAGAAGCTGTGACAACACTGAAAGTAGCTGTCATAACAACAATGCATTAAGTAACTATCACAAAGATACATTAAGTAACTATCACAGCAACACTGAAAGTAGCTGTCATAACAACAATGCATTAAGTAACTATCACTAAGATACATTAAGTAACTATCACAGCAACACTGAAAGTAACTGTCATAACAACAATGCATTAAGTAACTATCACTAAGATATATTAAGTAACTATCACAGCAACACTGAAAGTAACTGTCATAACAATGAAAGTAGCGGTCATAACAACAATGCATTAAGTCACTATCACTAAGATACATTAAGTAACTATCACAGCAACACTGAAAGTAGCTGTGACAACACTGAAAGTAGCTGTCATAACAACAATGCATTAAGTCACTATCACTAAGATACATTAAGTAACTATCACAGCAACACTGAAAGTAGCTGTGACAACAATGAAAGTAGCTGTCATAACAACAATGCATTAAGTAACTATCACTAAGATACATTAAGTAACTATCACAGCAACACTGAAAGTAACTGTCATAACACTGAAAGTAGCTGTCATAACAACAATGCATTAAGTAACTATCACTAAGATATATTAAGTAACTATCACAGCAACACTGAAAGTAGCTGTGACAACAATGAAAGTAGCTGTCATAACAACAATGCATTAAGTCACTATCACTAAGATACATTAAGTAACTCTCACAGCAACACTGAAAGTAGCTGTGACAACAATGAAAGTAGCTGTCATAACAACAATGCATTAAGTAACTATCACTAAGATACATTAAGTAACTATCACAGCAACACTGAAAGTAACTGTCATAACACTGAAAGTAGCTGTCATAACAACAATGCATTAAGTAACTATCACTAAGATACATTAAGTAACTATCACAGCAACACTGAAAGTAGCTGTCATAACACTGAAAGTAGCTGTCATAACAACAATGCATTTAGTAACTATCACTAAGATACATTAAGTAACTATCACAGCAACACTGAAAGTAGCTGTGACAACAATGAAAGTAGCTGTCATAACAACAATGCATTAAGTAACTATCACTAAGATACATTAAGTAACTATCACAGCAACACTGAAAGTAACTGTCATAACACTGAAAGTAGCTGTCATAACAACAATGCATTAAGTTACTATCACTAAGATATATTAAGTAACTATCACTAAGATACATTAAGTAACTATCACAGCAACACTGAAAGTAACTGTCACAACACTGAAAGTAGCTGTCATAACAACAATGCATTAAGTAACTATCACTACGATATACATTAAGTAACCATCGCTGACATAGTTTGTTCTTTGCCCTATTGTGATATTATGTTTCAGTTTCTGTTTGTCTCCACATGACGCTGCTTTCATACATTTCACTGAAATATGTCTACAGAATCTAGACGATGATGTCCTGCAGAAGATCGCCATGGAGATGAACCTGTCTGAAACTGCATTTATCAAACTTTTAGACAAGTCGGACAGTTTCAAGGGAAGTAAGTTTTCATATCGACACGTATCCAAAAGTTGACAGTGTTGGATTATAAGTTTGTCATAAGAGGGCTAACTGACAGAACGCAACAACAGAAGTCTCAGATAGGAGTACAGATTTACATTGACCTGTAAGGTAAAAATAACCACGTAATTGTAAGTGTTCTGTATGGGATACGACATTATGAAAAAGTTGGCATAACCATCCCATAAGCAAGTATATAGTGTACACACAGAAACCTACACAATTGTAACTTAGATCAACATTGACTATTCTTTCAAACCAACACTTTTATCTGAAAATACACTTGAAAATAAAGTATGAGTTGACGTTAGGGATATTTGATTTCTTTGACGATGTATTTGTTGAGACTTCCATTAAGCTAGACTGTATTCTATACGCACATATTCGCTTACCACGGTGTGCTTATAACTTATTCTTGACAAGATCTCGATCACTAAGTAGATGAGTAGAGCTCGAGTGAGATTGTCAATATTTCAATTCTTTCACGACGGCCAAAGAATAATTGAAGCCAAGCTTGGCAAATCAGTGATTGAAACACAATGAACGACAAAGGGGCATTCTGATGTTGGAGGTGGTCTAGCATGACAAAAATAACCTTTACATTAGGTTGTATCCCTTCGCATGTCCCTGGACATACTAACACGGTAATTGTCGCATTGTCGATTTAACAAAATCGATAATTGAGTGCATTATTATGTGTCTTGACAGGTAATACGTTTGGTTTGAGGTGGTTCACTACAAAAGAAGAATTCAAATTGTGCGGCCATGCTAAATTGGCATCAGCAGCTGTTTTGTTTGGAAAATTGGGTGAGTAAAAACATGAATTCCGAAACGTCCCCTGTATGAGTAACTGAGTGAGTTTTACGCAGCATTCAGCAATGTTCCAGCTTATATGGCGGAGGTCTGTAAATAATCGAGTCTGGACCAGACAATCCAGTGATCAACAGCATGATCATCGATCTACGCAGATGGGATACGATGACATGTGTCAACCAAGTCAGCGAGCCTGACCACCCGATTCCGTCAGTCGCCTCTTACGACAAGCATGAGTTGCTGAAGACCAATTCTAACCCGGATCTTCACAGGGATATGAACTGATTAAGTAATATTTCCAAGTGTATACTGTAGCTTAGTCTGTCTTACAGCGCCTGGAACAAACATATCGAATACATCCCAAAGTTACCTGGAAAAAATGACAAAGTTCTAAAATATTTTCTATTTGGTGAAAGAAAGACAAAATATACTACACACGAAGTTAAGACATTCGTGTAGTTCATTACATGCAGATACGTTTCGTGTTAATCTATCACAGCTTGCAATTGTGATGCTCCGGCGGAAGATGCTAACCATTTCTTTTTTAAAATGTCCAAATTTTGTCAGTTGCCGTTTTGATCTGAAGCAAGACTTTGAACTATCAAAAGTTCACTTAAGACATTGATACCATTCTTTACGGCAACCCTGCTCTGCCAAATACTATTAATGAACATATCTTGAGACATGTGCATAAATACATTGTACGAAGTAAGCGCTTCGATTAATCATTAATATGTCTTGATATTATTATGTCCATTCGTTATGTCCATTCATTATTGTTCATGTTTCTGATGGGAGCGGGCGGTAATAAGTTACATAACTTGTGCCCAATCCATTTCAACACTGAATAAAATATTTTCAAACAATAAGTAAAATTGACATAACGGACAATTGTGTCAACGATGATAGATAAAGTAATGCTCGGAAGTGTAGAAGTATAGAAAAACTATTAAAAATAACCATTTACATCATTGAAAGTTGTTTTGCTCTTACAATATTGAAACTATATTACTGGCTCGCCTGCATGTCAATTGGTATTGGCCAGTGATAGATTCTCTTTGAAAGAATGTCATCTTTACAAGAGAGTCTCAATAAACATCGGGGCGGTGGGGTAGCCTATTGGTTAAAGTGTTCGCTCGTCGATCGCGCCGAAGACCTGGGTTCGATTGCCAACATGGGTACAATGTGTGTCGCCCATTTCTGGTGTCCCCAACCGTGATGTTGCCGGAATATTGCTAAAAGCGGCATAATAAGAAACTCACACACTTAATAAACATCAGACGCCTAATTTGAAACCATTTATGACAACATAAGTCCTGACACAGATTTGGCGTATCTTTATTCTCCAGGCGTGACTTCCGTCTGCTGGTGGGCACCCCTGGCGACCCCGACAAACCGTTCCCCCCACCCAGTCATCTGGCACAGTCAGTCAACAGAATATGTGGTAAGTGTTGTACATACTGTCAGCTGGCATATTACATATATGTTTCCATGTGCAGCCCACACGGGGGGATCAGGAGAATACGTTTCATTAAGGGCCAAATATATACATTCGTGTTCTTTTTCCAAAATGACTGGATGTAGAGGCAGTTTTCAATTTTATTGTGTTTTATCTTTTACATATTTTCATGAAAGTAACATCGATTTTTATGTACCACATAAAGTATTTTACCGCGGTCCCTGCGGCAAGGAAATTACACTAACCGCATACTGGGCTGAATCTATCCCAATGCGACACATAGAGACAGGAATGGCGTGTGTAAAGCTCAAGGTGGTGCCTAAAAGTATTAGACGCAAGCTGACAAAGAAATATGAAGAAATTTAAGAAAAATAAAAATACAGCCTAATATCCATAATAAAAAAATGCATTACTGACGATCTTCGTGCAAGTATAAATGTATCCTTCTCTGTCAAAAGTTTCGCAACATGCAAAATAGTTGGAAAATTATGGTTGAATCACTGACACCAGGTGTTTGCGTTGCCAGTAGGAAGTTCCTGCTGTACCGGTAGACTCGCCACCCACAATATCTGCATATGTTTACCTCTTCCAGGGTAACAACACGTATGTGGCAGAGTTTGAAAACCCCGAGGAGGGATGGAGAGCCTTCTTTATACAGGTACGTGTATCCAGAGATGCTGGCAGACTCGTAGAAACTCCTCGTTGGTCCAATTCACTTTATTAGTCAGTGCTCGTGTGTTAGGAGCTTTACTTCCACCAGCGGAGGATGAGGACGTTTCATCATTGTCACAACATTAACAACAACCTGGGCCCAACCAACTGATGGTGTCGTCATTCATACACCATCTGCAATACCTTGTATATTTTGTGCAGCCTTCTGTTTGTCTTCCAATATATGCAGATCTCGGAATCATGAAACAAGTGAATTTGATTTGATGACTATTTCAACATTTTGTCTCTACGAGAAAGCTATTTATCATAGCATAACACGAGGTACTTCCTGAACCAAAGGTATTCATTTCTGCAACTCACATAAGTAAGATGTGTAACTTATCACACTGAAAATGTGCCCCGACTGATTTCTTAGAGGGGAAAGGACTGTGGGGTAGCCTAATGGTTAAAGCGTCCGCTTGTTACGCTGAAGACCCAGGTACAATGTGTGAAGTCCATTTCTGGTGTTCCCTGTCGTGATGTTGCTGGAATATTGCTAAAAGTAATGTCAAACCATACTCACTCACTCACAGAGGTCGACATGGAAGTTGTCCCAGCCTGTGAGTATGCTACTGGGAAACAATTTAACTGCCTGCTCCTTAACCAATCCAAAGCTTGCATTTTAATGTCAGATAAGATAACAATGTCTAGCATTTGGGTTCTATTTGTGTTACACTTATTGATAAAACGGGGGGATTTTCATGTGGTACAGAAATGTTTACTTTTATTGATTAGATAGATAAACATTTTAACACTATACAAAGAGTTGCTTCATTGTGGTGATGTTGCAGCTGACGTTCCGTGGTGTCAACGACTCTGTGCTGGAGTTCACAACGGAGAGCCAGATCATCCCGATACCTTCCCCTTCCCTGACTGCAGTGGAGAAAGTTGCCGAGGGACGCTTGTCTGACCAGTGATAATGTTTGATAATGTCATAGTGTTTCAACTATTTCTTGTCGACCTGTTTGTTTTGTTTAACGCCACAGTCCGCACTATGTTAGCTGTTTCTAGTCGACCTGTAAATATACAAGCGTACAAACCAGTGACTGAAATCATGAGCAACAATCCGTGACATCTTGGTGCTGTGACACGCAGCAGTCACTGAACCTGACCACTGGAACCATCATGACATCCTTATAGCAATTACATGTTACCAGGAACCTGTTGCTGTCTGGACTCACACGATGTGATGTGTCAGTGCCATATACCATGGTTGTATTGTCCATGGACTAGGGGATATATTGGAGTGTGCCAACCACATGGTTATCGTCCCTTTAGTCTAAACAATCCACATGAAATCGTTATCTATTTTTAATGTACTTATTGTTCAAATAAAAGTGTTGGGAAATGGTCGAGATATTTTTATATGTATTATGAGCATTCGTTAAATGACATCATTATTTTTTACATCTGTGTTCAGGTTTAACATGTGCTTCTTCAGAAAAAGAGGAAAAGAACAGCCAGATTATTTGAGTGTGATATAACACGTAATGCACAATTGATGGACGTGTCCATAATTGTGAATGAAAGCGCGTTTTTTACACTGCTCTAAGCATATCACAGGACACCATATTAATCAGCTTCAAACTTTGTACCCATGTGGGGAAATCGAACTCTTTTGCCTGAAGGTTTTAACCACAAAACAACCCCACCGATGGTTGTGTCAAATGTGAAGACAATACACGGTAACTCACCATAGTGATGACTTGTGCATCCACGTGGGACCTGGCGCTTTGTTTTTATTACAAGCATATAATTGTAGGTGTCCCAGATTTAACAATGGGGTCCCAAACTGAGATTCAGACACAAGTGACGTAAGATTGCGAATGTTCAGAGGGTGCATACAAAACAGATGTGGAGTTCAAGTGCTGGCGCTAGAAAGCTATGAAACATTCGACTGTGTATTGCATTGTTTAGATGATCTCTGGAAATGTTTTTTAAAACATAAAAATAAGGCCAGAAAGTTAACTGAAAATGAAATCTTCATTCGCCTTACAGCTGTAATATTGCTGAGGGTGGCGATGAACCGACGGAATTGTATGATTCTGGTTAGCAGAGAATGGTTTATTGCTTTTCACCCAAGTCCAGTAAATCCCCAGATCAAAGTTACTGCATTTGGACGAAAGGAGTGTGGAGATTAGATATAGGGGAAGGTGTGAGCTCGCTCAGCCTGTAGTGCATGTGCAATAGGTGTTTGTCGGGTTCATATCTGCCGATTTTGATGGACGCAAGACCCTACTGCAGTAACCATTGTGGTTCTGTAGAAATGGCTGAAATGCTGCTTTGAAACTTAGTATAATATTGTCCAGTTGAAGATGTTATGTTAGCATGGTTCATCCCTTTAGGTCGTTAATGGCAACGCAGGTTTGTATTTCTTGTACAGGAGATCAGGGTCGTAATCATCTGTTGAACTCCTGTAGTTGGCCGCAAAACGTTCTCATCAGTTCGAAGCAGCATACATTTTCCTGAAGTCAATTCTCCATCACCGGCTACCCTATCTACTTGGCATTATCGATGTCCTAACTGATGCTGTTGCATCATAGGCGTAGGAACTCTCTCTCTGTCTGTGTGAATGTCTCTCTCTCTCTCTCTCTGTGTGTGTGTGTGTGTGTGTGTGTGTGTGTGTGTGTGTTTCAAACATTTCAATCCCTGAGAGGAACATCTAATTTTTTCAAGGGATCACAAATGAAATTAATGGTAATGACAAACACATATACTTTGAATGCAGACAGGCTTCAAGTCATTCTCAGTATCAACATTGTCTCGAGGACGTATCACCTGACTAAGGACCAGTCATTCTGAACATGCGGATAGGCAAGGCATACATGTCCAATACAGAAGAGTACACCCCACCCCATTTTTAGTAGTTTTCAATACTCCCTCTACCGCATCCCTTCATTTTTCTCCTATAATATAAGTCAAGGGAGGATGCAATTTGGATGTAGTCCAAGATGGTTACAGTACCACTCATATATGCTCCAGAAATTCCCTCAACGCCCATTTTTTAGATACTTCTGTTCATTGTATTCAAATCCATACATGATTTGTGACGCACGCCACAAAAACAGAAACCACCTCCATGACACTTCACTAGGGTCAAATGAAGTAGGGCATCACTTTTTTAAACAGACTCCCGTCACTGCAAAATATTTAACTAGTAAATATGTAATGAGTTGATATTTGTTTAAATCTGAGAAAGTAACTTTAGTCAAAAGTCCATTCCATCCGGTTTTTACAGCTTCCAAGAATCCTCTTATGAGTTGTGTTATAAGAATTTATTCTCCCTATACTTGGGACTAGGGATTCATTGCTGAGACATAATAAAACAGACCAACATTATAAAGTGTGTTTCTTTGAGAGGCATTTTAGAAGTTGAATAGGTGATGGAAAACCAAGTTCTATGGATAGTCAACTTCTTTATTGCAATAAGTGTGACGTTTCGGTGTAGGTGTTAACACCCTTATCAAGCAAGTGAAACAAAGAGTTGAAACAAGGAGGATATATACATAGCTGCATAGTGATTACACATGTATATACAATTGACAAGGTTGATACACACTGGATTGCTAATTAGATTTGAGCAGAGTATGTTGATGTACAAATAATAAAGTGTTCTTGTTATTTCGGTCACGAATTGGTGTATGCACAGTACACTTGACAACGGATGCATTATAACATTATCACATGACATAACTCACATACTCTCGTCTTTAGTAAAACAACATACTTATCATCACTGAGAATGACAAACCACAAGATTTTCACTTTAGTACTGACCTCCCAAAGACAACACAACAGAGCAACATGAAACATTTAATTTCTTTACAAAACAATGACTATCTTGCCAAAATATAACAGATGTAAAACAAGAAGCACAACTGTTACATTTTTTTCTACCATCTTTACTGAAATAAATAATTTATGATGTCATCGTTTGAAATATTTCGACTACTTTGAAATAAAATTAATGAATATAAGATACAAGAAAGAAATGGAAATAACATATTCACAACTTGGTCCACTCCTATCCCAATATGAATTCCAGTGTAATCACAGCGGAGATACTAAAACTGGTACTCATAGCTCCACATCATAACACACAAACAATCAGTCAGTACTTACATATCCACTTTGCTAAGTATTTTATATAAAGTATATACCAACTAAAGTATAATATGAACAGAAAAGTAACAAGAAGACAAAGTTATCAATATCCCTCGCAGTGGTAAAATAATCTTCATGAGTATATCAGCTAGTTATGACTATGTCAAATGTTACATTGTTCTTCACATTGATCTACAAAAACATACATATGTAAACTATTCATATAGTAGCATGCTTGTATCAACAACAGACTGTCTGATACAGAAATAGAGTGGTACTGTTGATTTAAGTCATTAGGAGCTTGAATACACACAAAGTGAAATTAGAGTACTGACTTGTTGCCATGGAAATGCCAAAATTATTTTATTCAGAAATCCAAAATTACCAAAAGGCACCAGTTCACCACCAGACATATCTATGTAACAAGTCTGGTGAAGAAACATTGAACGGTTTTAATTTCTGCACTGGAAAGAGCACTACCACCACTTCAGTCGAAGTCTAAGTTGTTGCCATGGAAACTCAAAATATATTTATTCAGAAATCTAAATTTACCAAAGGCACCAGTTCACCACCAGACCTATCCATGTGCATAGTTTGGTGAAGAAATATGTAACGGTTTTATGTTCTGCTCCGGAAAAGACGATTTTGCACGGATGGACGCACAGATGAATTGCAAAATAATACCTGGTCCCACAAAATGAGTTGCAGGGGATAATAATTGCAGTCCAAAAGGAAGATCTGTATAAATGAACAAAATGCAAATGTAAGACCACAATCTATCATGAGGAAGCTGCGGTGGCTGAGCGGGTTAGGCGGCTGACTTTGTGTGTTGGCAAATAGGCGCCTGACTCTGAGTGTGTGGGTTTGAATCCTGGATGGGACTAAACCAATCAAAAGTACTAGAATATGTACTTTACTAAGAAACATAACATATGGCATATTTGACATATGTTTTATCTATAATAAAAATATACAAGTCATAAGGAATGTGTACACAGTCGGAAACAATGTTGTGTAACCATTGAATTGTAGTGAGAATTTTATCACTTAACAACTTTGTCATCACATCACATGAAAAGCCGGAACATTCTCAATACCCATCCAACCTGAACCTGAAGTACCTAGCCAAGCCCTGTAGAGATGTAGGAGGCAGGTGTCCCTGCCATAGTATTGCTGGAATATTGATAAAACAGTGTACAACAGTGAGAGTAATAGATCTAGAGCTCAAAACATTGTTATAGTGTGAGCTGTGTTTTTGTATATGTCATTGTTTCCACTCATGCTTAGTGAACCTGACATTACTGAAAAAGACTTAGATATATCATGAAATACACAATGCCATTTAGAAAGTGGTCAAATGTAACATATGTTATATTTGGGATTACACTTCTTAGTAAAATACAGAATTCTAGTACTTTTTTGTTTGATTTGCGTCATTTATCAGAGGGGTACACAAAGTCTGTGGTCTAGGACTATCAGTTGTCCGACTTCCATTTTTGTGGAAAGCCGCGGTGGCTGAGCAGTCTGGGCGTCTGACGTTGTGTGCTGGCGATTAGGTGCCTGACTCTGAGGGTGTGGGTTCGAAGCCGGATGGGACTCCAACCCAACAAAAGTACTAGAATCTGTACTTTACTAACAAAGTGTAATCCCAAATATAACATATGTTAGATATATCATCTCCCTAAAAACACAAAGAATTATAACAAAGATCAATTTCAATATCCTTGTGAAATCAAAGTTTGAATACTACTGTTGATGGGATCATAATCATAAGCATTTCCAGCTGAGAGTTTTCCTGACTCATAGATTGCCCATCGACCCCCTGACCTTGACATTGAACACATGATGACAGCCTCGCTATGGTTGGCATGAGTGAAGGATGTCTTACACAAATCTGTATTTGGTTTGTCAGCTTCGTAGAACTTCAGGCTGGGGTTTGGGTATTTGGATATGTTTGGTGAATCCCATGCACTTAACGTGAAAAATAAATGGGTGACTTCACTTGGGATTTTTTTAAGATAAACGTTAATAACATGGTGACCTTGATTCTTTATGCTGTCAATATGTCTCCTGAATGTTGCACAGCATCACCGGCACAACTAAGATGATCCCAGTCACAAAGATGAAGAAACTCGGTTCCGTTATAGAGGAGACAGGAAGCATCAAGATAATCTAGCCCAGACAGTGGAAATCCCAGTAGAGATCAAAACTACATGATCAAACCCTTCTGGAATGGCCAGCATCAGGACAACTAAGTAGACTGTAGAGTTAGGCTGAATGTTGTAGTCACTCAGCTTCATCTGTTTCTGACCATCTCCATACACCTACAACAGACAAACAGCTCTCTTGACCCGACCCGAAGCTTTGTGTTTCGCATGTTGTTTAATGCCGTACCTCAGCATTATTCCAGCTATATGGTTGCCGTTAGTAAATAATCGAGTCTGGACCAGACAATCAAGAGATTGACATGATTATCCACGTAATTGGATATGATGGCATGTGTCAACTAAGTCAGCAAGCCTGACCACCCTAATCCTGTTAGTTGCCTCTTATGACAAGCATGGGTTGCTGACAACAAATAATAACCGGATGGTCACTGGTCATGGCCCAAAGCAGTCAGACTGTACTCTGCATAAAGAATAATATTGTATACTGTTCCATAATGTACCTGGCAGTTAGGGCTGGGACGGGTTACTCAGATGGGTGGGTAATGAGTTGGACCCGGGTACTTGTCTCAACACGGACCAGTTAAGATCATGTGACTAATATATCAAACAATGTATGTTATTCTTTCATGATTAAAAGGTTGTATTGTCTTTGATCCCTTCCTCCTTCCATGTCCTCCATTCCTTTCATTATCCATTCCATTCCACTATTCCATCCATTTCCTTCATTCCATTCCATTTCCTTCCGTCAAGGGCTCCCCATATTCCTTGTCCATCCATTCCACTACTATCCATTATTTCTGTTTCCTTTCCATTCTCCGTTCCACCTCCATCCTTATCCATAAACCTACTATCCATTAATCCATTCCCTCTTTCTTTATCATTCACTGAATATTATCCATTTATTCCATTCCTGTCCACTCCTTTCCTTTATTTCTGTCCATTTCCATCCCCCCACTATTCCTTTATCCATATATTTTCCATTCCATTATTAAATATTCATTCCATTATATTTCATTTGTCTCATCTTCCATTTCTATTTCCTTCTCCTCCTTCCTTTTCCTTCCATATTTTCCATTCCTTCCTTGTTTATTTCCTTCCATTTTCTTCCTTCCTTCCATTTGTGTCTTCATTCAATCCATTAATCCATTCCATCCGTCCTTTCCTTCCACTCGTTTTCCTGTCCATTATCCTTCCTTCCTTCTCCATTGTTTATCCATTCCTCCATTCTATTATTCTTCTTCATTCCTTCAATTCTATCTTCCTTCTTCCATTATTTTCCATTCTGTCTCATATCTACTATCCATATCTCCACTATCTGGGGTCATTTCATATCTTTCCATTCCATTCCATCTTCTCGTTCATTGTCCTTCCTAAGTGTCTTCAGTCCATTCCACTGTGTTCTCTGTCTATTCTTCATGTATTCCTTCCTTCTTTGTCCGTCCATTCGTCTTCGTTTCCTTTCGTCGTGTCCACCTCCGTTTCTTCCTTCACATCTATCCACTGGGCCATCTTCCATTTCCTATCCATTCCTTTCCGCTCATGTGTATCCACCTTCCTCTTCTTCCTTCTGTCTCGTCCTCCAGTTATCCATTTCTTCGGTCGTCTCCGTCCATTTCACTATATTCTGTGTCCATTCCTTATATTTCCTTTTCTTCTTCTTGTGGGCTGTGTCTCAAAGTGTTGGTGTCCATTCCATTCGTGTATATTTATATCCTGTTTCGTGTCCATGTCCTCTTCTGTCGGCCACCTTCCGTGGGCTGTCTCACCATCCTGTCTGGGTTGGTCCTTATCCTTTGGGTTCATGTGTGCATGTGTCCATTCCATATTTGTGTGTGTCTCTCGGGTCTCGATCCGTGCCTCAGTCCATCTGTGGGCTGTCTCGTCTTGTTCCGTCTCTGTCTTCTCCGTTCCATCCACTGTGTTATGTGCTGTGTCCGGGGTCCTCTGTCTGTGTCTCTCGGGTCCATGTCTCTCAGTGTGTCCGTTCGTGTCCTGTGCCTGTGTGTCCGTGATCCGGTCCGTGTGTGTGTGTGTGTGTGTTGTTGGTCGTCAGTCAGTTGTTCGGCTCCCTAAAGATCCTGGCTGTGTCTGTCCGTGTTGTCTGATTCCATCTTTCCTGGTCCTTCTCCTGGTCGTGTCGATCCGGCTCCGTGGTTATTTTTCCGTGCCTCTGGGATGATTATTCATGTTCAGATCCAGGTTTTGATGTGAATGGTTTATGGGATTAGTTTATGGGTTCAGGACCAC